TGTAATATTAATAAATCTGTAGCTAGTATATTTTGTGGATATTGAAGCAATATAAATCAAACGAAGAAGCTGTCTGGAGAAAGTAAAAATATCTGTTTTTACTATAGCTTTTGTAGTAATCATAAATCGGTTAGAATGTTTGTCTACTTGCCATAACTGTCGCCACAAAACTTATTACTATTACAGCTCTGAATACATTTCCAACGCATATTTTTGAATTTTAAAAGAATTTCGAGTGTCCCGAGACATGAGTAAAACACACACTAGAGGGGAAACTAAATGTGCGCCTACGCAGATGCCAAGGAATTGTTTGTTTTTTTCTGGACCCCACACAAAGGAGGTTCCGACTACCATTGTACCACTGGCAGATGATTCTATGAAGCAAATTAAAACTTTGAAAGAATGGATGAAGGTTTATAATTGTTTAAAAGAGATCTGATTTGGCAATTTGAGCTTTTTCTGTTGCGACGACTGTGAAACAAACCTTTAGCTTCTTATCAAAACAATTATTATGGTCCATTTCTAAGATGTGAGAAGTTTTAAACTAATCCTAGACGGATTTTGTAAAAAAAGTCACAAATTCGATTGTAGTAATTCGTCGCTTGCTCCTCAATTTTTGTGCGTTTCTGCGGTGGTATACTGAATGAGGGTTTTCGCGATTGAAAAATCCGCCAGATGGCAATACGTAGACGCGAGGTCCAAATGCTGCGTGATTGTTGACTTTTGACATATCTGTCAATTTCATGTCAAAAATAACCAATCATGCAACATTTGGACCTCGCGTCTACGTATTGCCATCTGGCGGATTTTTCAATCGTGAAAACCCTCATTACTTATACCTATTAACTACAACAAATGTCATACCAATAGTAACCCAGTATCAGATTAATGAACCGTCAATCTCATAGGTATCTGCAATGTCATTGACAAAGTCTAGCTCCTCAAGCAATGTGAGTCGGGATTTAATTAGGTAAATGTCCCGATGATTCAAATTAAAGAAAGTCTTTTGGCTGAGCCTTATTAGTTTAATCAGTTAGCCTTTTCTGGCCATCCATCCGCCATTGTAGACGAGTGTTAAACTACAAAAGGGGCCTCGAATAATGTACACCGCTGTAAATGCCACCAAAGCGGACGGCTGACCGAGCGCGGCGCGTGCGCCGTGTACAAATGTGTGACAAAGGAACTAGACTGGCTTGTGAGAGGGGCTGCTAAGGTAGGCAGGGTTCCGTATACAAAAATTACCTAATTGTGTGATTGGAAGAGATTATAGTCATTTCTGTGCCAATTTATCCCTGACTTGCTTCATCTTTTCTAGTGAAGTGATCAAAACTGATCATAATATCCTACGCGAAGATTCTGATGGTTTTTTTATGCATGACAAGGCAGGTATTTGACCGTAATCGCACCTGGTGTTAAGTGAGGTGCAGTCTAGGATGGTGTATCAGCTTATCAGCCTGCCCTGTAAGTGCCTATTCACTCTTGCCTTGAAAAGGCCCGAAAAGACAGCAGCAGGCAGAGAATTCCAGTCCCTAGCTGTTCGCATTATAAAAGAGTTAGTGTATTCTTCAGTAGGTACATTTCCCCATGTGAATAAGCCGTTCGCTGTTTTGATCGACCATAATAGCCAATTTTACTAAAAAGTTACAAAAGTAGAAGTAGGTGACAAAGTTAGAAGTGATTCACCTGATTCACGAAATATGCAAAGCATGGAACGATATCTGAACAAATGACAAGGCAACCCTAACAATAGCCAGTTACCTTCTGTGACGGTTATTTTTAAGCAGAGCTATTAAACGTATGATTTACAACGAAATGTACAAGCGAGCACATCAAGCTAACACTGTAGCGTCTTATTTCATTTAAATAGGGTCTATTTTACAACAGAAATGTATAGTTTGATGTGCTGTTGACGTACGTGCGCAGACGCATAAAGCAACCTGTGCTTAGAATTATTGTTCTGAGTTTTGTAAATTGGACAGGATGATTATTTTAAAATTGGTACGAACGTAGACGAAGAATTCTTTCGCCATCGTGTTGGAATGTTTATTATGTAAAATAACAGAACAACACGATATTTCTAAAGTTGCTGGGTGTAGAACTGTATCGAGTATTCTATACTGACTGACGCCTAAATCTCGATTCATAGTCAATAGATAGAGCATAAGATCCAAAATCTTGTACTTAACTAATCCACATAGCAAAAAAAAACTATCCTATCTTACGCAAGAAATTAATTACTCGCTTTCAAGTAGTATAAAACTGTAATCAAATCTTAATTATTCTTAAATGATAATTAACGATCCGCTTTCCATCAATGTCCATTACAATTGAAAGTAAAAAGCAGTCGTCAGAATGCTATTTCTATTTACTCTCGAACTAATGACTCGGAATCAGTCGGATTAATTGATGAAACTGAATTTGAAACGTAATTAAGGACAAGTCACTAGTCCACCACAAGTGACCACCATCAGTGCCGTGGTGGTCAATCGTGGTCAGGGCGACCCCGAGTGGTCAATGAACAACTTGTGGCTCGGGCGGGACGTTAATGACCATAAAGGAATCGAAAAGCCTTTCGTAACTGAGTTTGCGCTTAACATCAATCTCACTTGATGATTAAGTGATGACGAGATCTGAGATGAAGCTTACCTACCTACTTGATATTAAATCCGAGCTTCTGTTCTGTAACACACACCTAAAGACACTTAAAAACTCCTATTCATTCGAGCCTTAGAGGCACCCTGCTGGTAGAATAGCAGATATTAGAACACAGGTCGACAAGAAGGCTCCAGCTCAGCGGTTCCCAAACTTATTTAGTCTACTGCCCACTTTGAGAATAAAATATTTTTAGCGCCCCCCATTTTTGTAATCAAGAGTCGAGCTCAGTCGGTGTCGAAGAGTCCTCCTAGTAGATGACGCCTCCCAAGCCTCTACACAACGTCCCGATTTTTTTTTCTGGGTCTCTTACCGCCCCCCTTTAAGCCTGCAGCGCCCACAAGGGGGCGTTATCGCCCACTTTGGGAAAGACTGCTAGCTCATTGCTCCACGAAACTGTAAAGAACTGCTTCTGGCAATAAACACGTTATGTATCCTCCCAAACTCCTTGTTTTATGCTCTAGCTAGAATTCTAGATATCACAGAGATGAATTTATGAACTTTCTTCCGCAATATGACGCCAATCGTCCGCATTATGACTATGGCGGTGCGTCTTCAAAAACAAAAAGTTAACGGTCCTAATTACATTATGTCGGCTCTTTTGTAAGTCACGCGCCACAAAAACATCCAGAGGGAATGCGCGTTCCCTCACGATCGTATCTAAAACAGAAATACGTTTTTTTGTAAGGAAACCCGAGACTTGTAGGGCTATCACGACGGCTTCCTACGTATGGAATTTATCTTGGCGAGAGAGATCATTTTTAGAGTAATTTAAACTAAGCCATATCAGTTTACTACAAACAGATGCGCTTTATCAAAACAAAAGACGGCACACCAATATGAGGTTCTACCGGTTGATATTCTGGAGACTTATGAAGAACGTTAGGCTTTACGTATTGAGCAAGAGCCTTAATTGATGAGGGAACCCTATTGTTAAAGCTCCCTTTTTCACATATTTCTATAAAAACTAGAAACGAAACCAGGTAGCCCGGCTTGTGACAGTAGATCTACATATATTTATCTATTCTTGATGATAATTACTTGTCGGCCGTTTGGTGTAGTGGTTCAGTGTGCCTACCATGAGTTTACGTTAGGTGTGCTCGCTAGCGACTGCGTAAAAAAATGACATTTAAATGTATGACATATTGTGCAGCGCCCCTAGTGGCTACTTTCAAGAAATAAAATCTTCATAGAATTTTTTGACGTATTCGCTAGCGAGCTCACCTAACGTAAACTCATGGTAGGCACACAGAACGGACTACTATGCCGAGAGGTCCCGGGTTCGATTCCCGACCGGGCAGAAATTGAAATGATTTCTGTGACGGGTCTGGGTGTGACTATGTATAATATGTATGTATTTAAAAAAAAAGTATATAATTAGTATATCCGTTAAGTTAGCACCCATAACACAAGCATTAAGTTGCTTACTTTGGGGCTAGCTGGCGCTGTGTGAAATTTTCCAATGATATCTATTAATTAATTACCTACCACATGAAAGAAATCCCTTCTCCTGATTGTCTGGCTTCTCTATTTTAATTACCTACATTATTATTGTTCACTTTTATGAGGACATTATTACCGTAAACTTGTTTATTTAGTAACTAGATATTATGTCTACTTTTATTGTTATTTATATTCGTTTCCGATAACAAATCTAGTAACCTAAAAAACTACCTGTAAACGTATTTTATAATCTTATCTTTTATCATTAACAATAATTCGGTCCTAATTTACTGACGCACCCATTCCATAATCGGAACCGAGAACAGTAGCACTTCTTCAAACAGTCTGAAGTAGTCTGAACGTTAAAAATGCGGCTTCAACTAAGAATCGTTTTATATTTTGGTTAAAACAATCAAATTAGTATGTTTCCTATGGCGCATTCACACATGCCGGGCGGCACGGCCGGCGGCCAACCCGGCGGTCGTGCATCTTTTACTGGTAATAAGACAGACTGAAAGCCGGCGGCAAACCCGGCGGCATGTGTGGATGCGCCACTAAGTATTTATCATTAGGACGTGGTGTTAACAATCAAAGAAATGACAGCCTCATCATGCACCCACAGAACTCTACAATCAAGTGCTGCAACTACAAATACGTCTGTCTAATGCCCGTTTTCACCGTAAGTTAAGTGACCCCTATGGTCACACAACATAGGAATTTTGTTTTCATAACGGTCACTTAAAAATTAGGGATTGATGGTGAAAACGGCAGTTATGAGTTTATGACTAATCCCTTACTACGTTATACAGAGCCTACTGCACTCTATGCATTTATGTCTAGACTTCATTATCTGTGCTAGTTTTGTTTACACAAAGACAACTTTCGTGGTTAGACGCCGGCAACAGTCGTGGTTGGACGTGCCTTTAATTACCAGCTCTACGTGAAGAACAGCCTTGTTTGTTACACACCATTGTTAATTAGTGTGAAGTGTAAAATGCTGACTGAGACTATTAGTAGTGATTAGTGCAAAAGTGGTTACGTGGTGTGACGGCGTGAATAAAAAGTTATTTTTTGGAGCGAAAACAAGATTAATCACAACTAAATCTCACACACTCTCTTACTTCTGCTTATGGCAGTCCACTGGTGGACATAAGCCTTCCGAGGAGTGCCGCTAACCATTTCCCGGTTTTTTTCATTCAGCCCTGCCAGTTATCTCCTTGACCCACATTTGAACTTGAAAAAAGTCATAACTTAAATACTAAAAACAGAGCTCAAATGAGTGCCGAATAAAATGGAAGATTCATGATGGGCCCATAGCATAATTATCTTTATACCATACACTAATTAGGTAATTGATCCAAATTTTTGGACTGCAAAACAAAAGAAAGTATCACGTCTTCGAAAGAGAGAACCAATATTCGAGATAGATGATGTTATACCAGCATCGGAACTGCAAGTAGAAATCGAACTGTAGCCAAACAAAAAACGCCACAATGCCGTCAGCATTAGACCCAGGGCCGTTCAGCCAGCCCGAGTGGAGTGACTCCAGCGACTCAGTAGAACCAGCACCGCTGCCTCAGCTGGGGTACTTTGTGCCGGTCAGATGCGCCTGCGACCGAGGGACGAGACACGTGTGCCGGAGAAGCAGAAGGTAGGTTAACTGAGGGGATAGAGGAAACAATAAGGGGTTAAGAGATGAGACGCAACTCCTAAAGGAGCTCTACTAAGTCAGTCCAAAACCTAGAGCTATTAGTGTGCTGCCACACTGGCGGATTGCAAGCGGTTGCTAAGCGGAGCGTCGACGCAGCAAACCAGTGAAGCAGTGTGGCAAGGCCCTTAAGTTACAATGTCATTAGTTCTAGACTCTAGAGTCAGGGCGTGTGCTGGAGACGCAGAAGGTAGGAAGACGGTGTAGGCTTAGGGATGAAACCTACTCCGAAATGAGCTATGATCAGTCCTATATTGAACCAGACTGAATGGAGTGACTCTATTATAGCCAGTACCTCTGTGCCTTAGGGTATACTTTCATGCAAGAGGAGACGAAGCATGACTGTGTAAAGAAAAAGTAGCGTTAAACGTGAGCCGCTTTTATGTGGTGTAATGCTGTAATATTAAAATCTTACCATTTACTTGCCAACAAGTCTTGGTTGGCAGATAATTCAGAGTCCATCATAGAGTGCATCCCACTTAACATCAGGTGCGATTGTGGTCAAATACCTGCCTTGTTATGCATAAAAAAGAGTCAATCTATCTGTCCAGAATCTTTTAAGCATTTCCAATTCTATTGTCCACAGAGAATCTCCCCGATCCCGTCGCTCGGTCTCGCAATGCTCCTGCAACAGCATCTCCCGGCGGTCTTCGGTAGCAGCGTCGCCGATGCCGCTACCGCCCCTCAACAACACCGTCGAAATGTACGTGGAACCCGTCGTCGAAGATGTAAGTAGCTTTTGAATCACTTGTTTCCACGTAGCTAGCAAGGATCTACATACAGCTTGACAGCAGCCTACGAGTGAAGGACATAATATACCAGAGGAAAGTAAAATTATCATTTGGTCCGCAACATAACTAGCTTCATAAAGAGAGAGCATGTAAGGGACATATCGCCCTGATTTCCTTCTTTACCATGTCAACTTTTTAACCCATAATCTACAAGAAAACCCAATATTAATCAAACCCTGCTGATTAAGCAAGATTTAAAAGATAATATTGCTTTATACACGCAATTAACATAACATAATTAATATAACAGCATCAATACAAACCTTAGTGGTTTCCTGAATGCTGTCAAAACAAATTTTGTCTGTAATTCTTTTTATTTGGTAAATAAATGAAAAAAAAATTAAGATGCTACAAGTTACTTAGAATAATCGATTAATGAATAAGTCTACTGCTGCTCCTAGATTTCAAATCAAATGAATAAGTCTACTGCTGCTCCTAGATTTCAAATTAAATTGATCAAAGGTTTAGCAAAGACGGTTACTACTACAACTGTGTCTTTGTGACGCATCTCCTTTCACGATCGACCATACGTCCCCGGAACTTATCACTACCAGAACAAGGGTTCATTGTTTGCTAAAATGTTTTAGCGATAACCACTATGGTTATTTGCCATGAGTCAGTTAGTACTGTTACCAGTAAAAGCTTTTGCAAAATTGATCTGCCGCAAACTGATAGGCGCTCTGTCTGTAGTTAGATGTCATAAAAATAATGGAAACCACCAAAATCAAAATGTCTTGTTTATTAATCTTATCAACTATGAATTTTCGGTTATTACAATGTCCATTCCGATCCCGTTCAGTCCTGGAAAGGAACGTATGTGATCACTTTTCTAATTTCCAATTAGCACAGCTAAAAAGGTGTATTTTTCTCAAATGGCACTAGGAATTTATCGTCTTCCATTTTTAGGTTCGCACCTTAGTTTGATAACAAGGAAATCTTCATACGTCAAATTTTTCGTGCTTGTACTTGTCGAGCACTCTTCTCATAGACCTGGCGATTTGTTCTGGTCTGCTGTAAAAGTATTTGTGCTGGGTACTCCCTTCCTCATTGTAGATGTCGCTATCGACCAATCCTTGGGGCGAAATGAAGAGGATTCTGTAAATAAAAGATATCTGATCATTTGAATCTGGGGGATTTATAAACTGCCATATTTTTCTAAAACAAAGCTCCTCACACAGACGGCCAAAATTACCTCTTAATTCAGATTTCAAAAAGTACCTATTCTCTTATAATAATTATTCTTTACAATATTAGTCTACCTGGGTATGTACGTCCCGTCAGGAGCAAACGAAGAGCTCTTCGGTTCCTCCTCATCCACCAGATTCACCATAACGAAGTGTTTGCTCAACGACTGGATCTCTGGTGAGCTCGCGAACTTCGGCTTCAAATTCTTGCATGCTGAACACCACGACTTATGGATGATCAGCATCAGAGGCTTGTTGTGGTGCGTCGCAATCTGAAGGCCAGACTCGAGGGACCCTGCCCACACATAGTTGTTTCCAAACCCGTTGTCTCTACCCAACGAGCTGCAATGAACCTTCTCGAAAATCAGCCCAAATAACGCTCTAGCGATGTTCCCAGCTACCATGGTCAGGGGGCGAGTCTAAAGGAATGTCCGAAGGGATATTGGAGACGCTATTTACATTTTAAATGTTTCTTTGCTTGCCGTTGCTCAGCCATTTTTGACAGCGATTGTTTGTTTGAATTTGACGCCACTTCAAATCCTGTAGGCTTTCACACTTCATTCAGTACGAGTAGCGCCATCTATATGTGATTCTCGGAACTAGATTTTAACTCGAGTCGAGTCGTATACCAATGTGCGTTTGCGTAGTTGAGTCGTGAATGTTCGCTGGGTTTTCTACAGATGGCGCTACACGCACTTGATATTTGTGAGAACATGTTTTTGAGCTATTTCTTCACAAAAAGTAGAAACAAAAAATTATAATAAAAATAAACTTTTTTAAAAACAAGCTTTTATTCTGAATTTCGAAAGTTTGTATCGCGCATCGAATTTATTCCTCTTTTTCTCTGTTTGCGCTACAAGCTTTCGAAATTCAGAATAAAAGCTTGTTTTTAAAAAAGTTTATTTTTATTATAATTTTATTTTACACTTTTTAGTTATATCTTAATCTCAGGACCCTGGACGTTATCTAACACTAAAGTGCTCGAAAAGACAAATCCAACGAACCCAAACTCGATGAGTTTCCGCCGTTTTGTTTAGGAGTTCCTATGGCCACCTCCCGACTCCATCATCAGACCAGCTCAATGGTACCATAATATTGCATTGTCATCGGACTTACACATGTATGCAAAATTTCAGCTCAATAGGAAACCGGGAAGTGGGTCAATTTTAAGTTGCAAGATTTGACGACAGACACCAGACATGTGAAAGTAATAAAAAGCTTGTAAAAAGCTTGTAAAAACATTGTTCTCCGTCATCATCATCTGTTTCCAGTAAATTAACATAAATATATGGTAATTCTTTCCCTATTTATAAGTCACAGTATTATGATTTTTGCATAGCCCAAAGGTCGACTGGAATAGAATGCCGAATCAAGTTCACTTCAAACTTTGTGAATATTTTAGTCCATCGGCCACCCATTAATGACCAATAGCAGCAATTCAGCAACATCAGCAGTCGGTGGTCCAATGTAATATTCAAGGATACAATTGATTGATACAAATTTCAAATCAGCAAGCACCGTTTTTGCGTGTTTTATACCTATGTTGTACCAACCAAGTACCTACTTACTTTTTTACCTCAAGGAAATCCTTTACAGATAATGTTGTTGACACAAAAAGTTAAGGCAAAAGTTAATGAGATCATCTGTCTGCATCTTAAAACGAACAGATACCTACCTACCAACTCAGCAAAAATATTAACTGCCTATTTTATTGTCTCAGCAACTCAAAAAGTGATTGTTCATTTGTCAGTAATTAAAGTGACCCATAAATTACATTAATTTCAATTTTATTTGACACATATCTCGTCGACTTCGTCAACAAAAACTATAACTGGACAAGTCATTGTTACACGCAAACGCACAAATTGAGTAACAAAAACCTAATAGGCTCATTCGCTACTAACTATACCATCAGGTGCTGTAAACACAATCCTAAATACAAATGACAACTTTTTAAATTTACTGGCGCGTATCGGCGCGTGGCATGCGTGCGCGTTTTTCTGCCATTTTCAAACTTAACTATGTCGATACGTCGCGCTCCATGTAGCCTATTGGAAAAAGCAGATAAACTATGATAATTAATGTAATTTGAACGTATCTCGGCAGAGCTCTGCGCTGCATCACTCTACCCATTTCATATCGTAGCAACGTCAACAACACCCGCGCGTCCGTCAATCAGGGGGTGCTAAAGATTAAAATATTTTACAAAAAAATATATCAATCTTTTAGACACCATAAAAATAATAAAACACCTTTAGCAGTGGCTTATTTTTATTCAAAAATAAGTTCTACTTATAAGCTGCGTTTTAAAATCACGGACTCTTCGCGCGTTGCCATTTTTTTTCGTCCTGTCAAAATTCGCGCGCATTTTGTTTTTATCAAAATCGTGAGTGGTAACCAGCCAGTGTTTCGGTGCAATGATGAACATGTATACCAGCCATAGTCGTGGCAGGAACCCCTATGGGACAGTGAGATCCCTGGTGCCCAGAACCACGCCGATTCCCCCAGGATTGGAGGAAATGATATTCACTCCGCCTTATTTTTATCACATTCCGCCACCGACTCAGGTTCTAAACACTTTTCCTGGAAGGAAGAGACGAAAAAGGGTAAGTGGTAATTTTTTTTATTAGAATAATTTATCGTATTTACTGTTAAGAGATTGGACACATTCCCTAGTCTTGTCTGGCTTGCGTCAGATTAAGTAAATTATAGCCATGAGAGTTCACAACCCTGAATGAAAATTCAACTTGTGGAAACATCAATAAAATCTGAGATTAGAATCTGAGATTATCTACTATGAAAGTGTGGACTGACAAAATACCAATTTCACATTGATACCACGATAATTTTTAGCGCAAGAAATGGATATTAATGAATAAATGTATGAATATCAGCAGTGTACGTACAACACTAGGAATGCATTCGTTTGGAAAAATGTTCAGTCATTAGTGTTTAGAAAACAGACTCGCAAAACAAATGAGGCACGATGGTTAGTTTTCTTCTCTTTCTGAACAAACTGCAACAAAATCTTTGCTCTCAATAAAATTTATTACAAGAGAAAGACGTTAATTTTGGGTTCCTCCTCTTTTGGTGTTTTTTTCTTTGGAGCTAACAAAATTTTATAAAGACTTCGATTTTAAAAGTTCCAACTGTAAGTTTCGGGAATTACGAATCACAATCACGTTTTATAATTACCTATCTAATTTAAATATATCCTTATCAGCATTCTGAACATGAAACGAAAACGCCCCCTCACTGAATCATCGTCACAAGGATGAATCCCAATAGCGAAATATCAGCTGATAAACTAATGTAACCGTAACACTTTTGGCACATTTAATTTTGTTATTAGGGAAGATAAGTTTATAATATCTCTTCATAAGTTTGTATCCAACGTTGTCAGGAAAACCGTAGCGAAAGTCATGTAACACATTTTCAGGATCATCAATATCATAATAGTAACCCTAGTGCCCTAACCACTGTGTGTCTGTGCTAGTTGCAGAGTTAAAAGAAGAATTTTATTTTAGATCACACGAAGATTTTGGCCTAGGTGCAAAATTAATTTGCAGTGTGATGATTTTCAGTTTACCTTCAATTTCGGATACTTTATTCTATCCATTTTGCTAAGTTGTAGTTGAGTAAAACTCATTGATTGTTTACTTGTCTTCAGCGCGAATACTTTTGCTTCTGTACCTCCCAATAAATTGGGACATCAGAGTGTATGACACGAAGAAAGACGTGGAAAACACCATAACATCAAACAGCAGTTTCTTTCCTTTCATGTTATTTGTTTTTAGAGATATTTTTTCAATTTTACATGGATTTCTCCATGAATTTAAAGTTCGTTGAGGTGTGTTGACATTTTCAAAGTTTTTGATGACACTGACTGTTCAAGAGGTTTTACTTCTTCTTCTTATTTTGTTTATGGCCACTAGAGTTTTTATTTTTCATTGGTCGGCTGCCAGAGTAACAACTTCCTAAATGCATTAATTTCCCTAATATAAAGCGTTTTGAAGCTCCACTTGCCATACAGATTTGTCTGAAAATTCTTAGAATACCGGAGACTAAAGACAAGATTATTAAAAAACCTACGCAATAAAAATAATGTAACGAAGACCAAAACCCTTCGTTAGATCGTCTATTGTTGTTACCACAACCCTTACAATAACAATATCAATAAATTGTTTGTCATGCTAATTCTGTTCAATTCAAAAGTCCTGGATTCGATTCCTGCTTACTTTAAATAATTTTTAATTTAAAAAATGTAGGTAAGTACCTAGTTTTAATGATAGTTTAGTTTATGTTATTCTAAAATCAGAGTGATACCTAATTCTTTGAAGAAGATTTATACCCAAATAATATAAACTGAAACACTGCAACTGTGCGTGGTGAACAGATGGATTAAAGACAGTTACAAGCTTAAACTGAACTTGGAATTAGCTGGAAATACAACAAATTAACTTTTCTAAACGCACAACTAACTCCGGGTGAACTAAGAAGTTAAAAACTAATTAATGAAAGAAAGTCACACAAGTACAACCAAACATAAATCCAATTAACAGCTCCAATAAAAACATCAAATTACCAAACATCTCGTATATTATTAATAACTTTAGTCCGACACAAAAAGAAAACTATGTACAAAATAACACACATCGCGAAAATAAACTAAAATGTACTACAATATCCAGAGCGTTGAATTCTTAAGATTTAGGGAAGTCACTGGCACCGTTCGGTCTTATTTACTGTGGTGAGTTTCTTATAACTTTCAAAGTGTGGCCCGTCCTCAGTTCTGTTCCTCCGTCATTTCTGTGATCTTTCGACTGCTGCACCGGCCGGCTAGGACTGTTTCGAAATGACTGTAACGAGAACGCCCCAAAGGAGTAGGCTATACATGACGTCATCGACATCACCAGTAATACAAGTTTTAGCTGTTCCCTTCTGTCCATCTCAGAGTGGGCAACATATATTTAAATCCATAACAATAGACTTGTTGCCGATGGTTACTATTGACGCGTAAATTCATCCAAGTTTTATGTTTTTGTTGAGAAACATTGGCGTCGATGTGACAGCTGAGACAGGATTTTATTCTTCTAATGTCATCTGAATATGAACAGTACGTGTGCTCTATTATCTCTGATTTTTGCTATGATACCTTCTTAGTCCTTCTTCGCTCTATTCACTGGATATTTTTCACATTAAATTACTTATTTGTGATGTAATAATGGTAAGCAGCAACCACTCCAACGGAAACAACGAGCGACTTAACAATCTGCTGCATGGTATCAAATTTTTAATTTCCTATTAACTATTTCACGGCAATTTCATAGCCACACTGATCAATTTTGAAATGTTCCCTATCTCCATGGTCATGGAAATATATTCCCCTTCCGTTCAGGCATAGTTTGATGGCTATTGTTTTCGTTATTATGCTTACTTTTGGTTTTCCTAAATTGCTCCACATTATTGCTTAAAAATGTGGAGGAATTTAAGAAAACCAAGTTCTCGACTAATCTCTTTTCCTCTTGGAAGCGAAATATAAGAGAAAATTACATAAGCTAAAAAGAATATTCAGAACTGAAATAAAAGAGCTACTGTTTTGTGATACTTTTATTAGTTTCATCATTCTTCTTTATTACATGGTTTCATCGGAGGATCTTTGACAGGTGGACAAGGTTCCTTCGGAGGATTGCATTTCGGTTTCGCGGCCTGTTTACTACCAGAATCGCAGGTTCCTCTAATAATAGTTGTCGTTGGTCTCTGTTTCGTAAATTTCCCGAATGAAGCTGCTACGCCAAAGGCCGAAGCGAGGACGACGCCTATAAACGGGAAAAGTTTATGTCTCTCTTGCTGATCGAAGGGAGGGTTGGCTTCCATTTTGTCCTTGATCACTGATCGGTAATGCTTTTTCCCTGTCAAATGCCATAGGCGCGTTGGCTTGATTCCGTTGTTCATCGTGGAAACTGATGCTCTTTCGCTGTGATTTTTGGAGTTGGTTATGTTAGATGGTCAGCTGGGAAGGCCTGGTATTTGATGAGGATATGGTTGTATGGAAGGTTGTTGGGTCCATTATTTGACGGTAGCCATTGGGTCTTCGATTTCTTCTTACGAAATCTGGAAATGGAAGAGATATAATTAGATAATTTTTTAGAGCCTCTACAGAGTTTAGCCTCTTCATTAAATCTCGGTCTTGGTTGTTTTGAGAAGTTCGCTTTCTTCTAGCTGACAAACTTTAGTACAAACTAGGGATAGTAGAAATGCCACCTAAGGCTGCTGCTGTTGTATAGAAAATGTTTAGGCCTAAGGATCAAGGATCTATCGCAAAAGTACTATTCCATAATAAACTTTTTACTTTAAATAATACTTACCATCATGGCCACCGAGGTCCTCGGCCGCTCTTCTCCAAAACGGTGGCTGCGCAGGAGAATAAAGCGGACGCTGTTACTAAAACAATGATTTGCTGTTTACTCATTTCATTTTGTACGATTTTGTGATGTGAAAAACTGACAATTACAGTTGACGTGTACTGTCAATCATTATTTGTTTCTTCACGCATTAGTGAAAACTTTTTCTAATAAACTTGATGTCTTCATAATAGGTTTGAAAATCTATACTAATAAAGAGGTAAAGTTTGTATGTTTGTATATTTGTTAAATTGTAACGAGTAATCTCGGGATATACTGAACCGATTTTATAAATTCTTTCACCATTAGAAAGCCACATTATTGCTGAGTGTCATAGGTTATATTAAAAAAATCGAAAAATTCCACGCGGGCGAAACCGCGGGCGGAAAGCTAGTTATAAATAACTTAAAAAAATCGAACTGCCTAAGGCGAGAATTGAACCCACGACCTTCCGCTTGCCATAGGTTGTTTTAAAAATTGACCATTTAAATATTTAGGCATTACTGGCATTACCTAAAGCTACCTATTATAAATTCTACTTACTCCCATGATTATAATGAAACCAACCCATCCATTTATTAAACTCCAAACTATTTTAGAGTAATGGATCCCATCAAAAACAATACTTGTCAAAAAAACCAAGTCTCGCAACTCAGTTGTTCTACGGTAAAAAGTTGTGAGATCCATGTAATACCAAGTCCAGGCCAGGAAATCTTTAACGTTTTACATAAATTATTGACTTGGCCATCGCACTAAATAATTTAATTTACACGTGTTTTCATGCGATGGCCAAGTCAATATATTTATGTAAAACGTTAAAGATTTCCTGGCCTGGACTTGGTATTACATGGATCTCACAACTTTTTACCGTAGAACAACTGAGTTGCGAGACTTGGTTTTTTTGACAAGTATTGTTTTTGATGGGATCTAATTTCTTTTTGTATTTTGTAGACAGCAGTTATGTATCTAGAAAACTGGACCGAAATTGAAAAATTTTACTCGACTTGGCGGTTGCACTACCGTGCCCCCAAATATTTTAGTTTTTCCTTGATTCATACACCAAACACTACTTATATTCCAAATTTGAAGCTTCTAGGTCTGCTAGAAGTGCCTTAGAGTTTTGATGATCGGTGAGTCAGTCAGTGAGTCAGTCAGTGAGTCAGTGAGTGACAAAATTAAGTAACTTTGACCCGTTATAATTCTTAAACTACTGGTTCAAATTGAATGAAATTTTAAATATACCGTGTCTTTACAATGCCTGCATAGCTAATGAAAATTCAGCCTTCTAGTTTTATCCACAACGAAGTTACAGGCGGTCGAAAATGGCCTGAATTGCTTCGAGAAAAGGATGGTACGGCCGTGCCGCTTTTTTGCTCGACTTGGTGGGGGCACTGCCGTGCCCCCAGATTGTTACTATATAATTAAATTCAACAGAGCATATCAGCCGCGTTCACCTTGTATTGTCTTATAGTTCAATTATTTTAAAAGTTGTTAGTAATATTAATCAAAGGTCATGCTAATACTTTGACCCGCTCTTGCCCTTAGCGCTATTTGTCCTTTACTTTTTAGTCGTCTAAATTAACAGTAGCTGCTATTAGGTACATTATATTCATCAATTTGAAAAAACCGTCTGAATTTATAGCAACAAAAGATGAATGACTACACCTGTCCATCAAAGAAACTGGATCAACAACTCGCATATTTATAGAAATTGTATCGAAAAAAATGCCAATTACATTGGACCACGGGTTCAGGTAAGAATAGGTCCTACCACGTGTCTGTGTGGGTACATCTGACAGTTCATTCCCAAGTGGTAACGTAATGTCTATTGACCGGTAACAGTGTGTGCGTTAGTCCCTGCGCAGGAGTGTCCTGGGAGGTTAACTCTCGCGGCCTTCACCAGAGATGCATTGGGACCGGTTTGATTTATCGACTGGATCGATCGATTCTACGATTGTGACTAAACAAATCTGAAATAGGGTCCGAACTCTAAATGAATCATAACTAAAATATTTCCAAGATGCTCAAAAGTTAAGTCGCTAAAATCATAACTGACCACATTGTTGCGGATGATTCACAACTCCGAGAAAAGTGGTCAAAAATAGCCGAGGTCCAATCGGCGTGTACGCATAGCCTGCTATGTTTCCGAACTAAACTTTCAAGCTTCGAGGCTGAGTCCGCACCGTGCCTCCTTGTAGTGGGAGCAAAACCTGTAGATAGTGGCTCGCTTCGAGACGGAGTACCTGCGCGCGCGCCGTCCCTTTCCCTCCCACACCGGCACCCGCTAGCCCCACAGCCTCTGTTTCACCGCACCACTCTGGTATGCAAAGATTGATAGCTTTTAAGACCATTTGGTTTTGAAAGCGCCCAGAAATCACGCGCGGTTAACTTTTCGCCTGGCGTCCTTACGAGCGAGACATTGCGAGGCACAAAACCAACAGCCTGTGCCGGAGTGGCTTTATGTTCATCTCGTAATGTCATTATTGCGGTTTATCGATTGAACTCGTAACTCAGAAGCGAGTGAAGCCCTAAGTGAAACGTGTGTTCAGTGCCTGTGTTTTCTAGTGAACTTTCGATGAAGATTGTTGTTTCCGTGTCCTAATGTGCAGTGGTTGACAATTCGGAGGTTCTGTGTATGATGTGATTGAAGAAATGGATCCAATGGCCACAGACAACGGATTAGTGGTGAACAATTTGAACCACGTCCGGACTGACTCTCAGGTAAGCGGCTCCTCCGCCGAGCTCAGTAGGTATAGATGGAGCAAAACACGTTTGCCGTTGCATACCTACCTATGAGTAAGTGCAATGACTTTACAATCATTTGATACATTTCAAGGTATCAAATGGGGTGACTCGGAATTCAATTTTTTTATTTAACTTTAGGATCTTTCTTTGTCAAATCCTGGTTTAGCTAGAAGAGAAAAGGTGGCATATGCGTTAACTTAAGAATTTGCTTCAAACTTCAGTCGCCTCATGAAGAAAGTTAACTTAAAAGTTCTCTATGAATAAAGGCTGATTTGGGAGTTCCATTCCATGTTCCAACAACATATTCCCGTAAAAACACAAATAATCGGTTAGGATGATAGATAACGAAACTTATGTAAATAAATATGATTTCAGCTAATCTTCCAAAATAAACAACATGACGTAACAGAAGGAATATTTTCCGTACTAATGTTCACATTGCATAACAAATGCCGGCCAAACCTCAACTGGTTTTTTACCCAGTTAGCTGCTGAGATGTGTGCAATACCTAGGAATCTTAACCACTGTAATTTGCACAGTTTCGTCCATAACATTCCTATGATCTGTAATTTCCTAGTCGGCTACAAATTTGTGAAATTATACGGACTAGAATACTGCAAAAACTCCTTCATGGACAGCAGTTTATATGTATAAGTATTAGGCTGAGTTGTACCTAACTTTAACCGTAACTATAACGATAACCGGTGCTTTTTGTATGGAGTTCGACAGAGATTTTTCACGTTTGTTAAAGTTAAGTAAGATGGTGCAACCCAGCCTTAGATATTATGGCAACATTGACTCATGACCATAAATAAACAGGGATACCGCGTCATCCAAAAAATACAACAGAAAAACGCTAAAGTCGCACCTACATAATATTATGAATATTATTTCCATTTTCCTGTGCCTTTTTTCTTCTTACATTGTTGTACATTGAGATTTTTCTCATAGACTCCTTCTCCTCATCATACTCTTGGCTACAGGTATCTGCTTGTACAAGATAAGTAACTCTTTAGTGAGAGAGGCTTTTAAGCATTTACCTAATAACTATGTAGGTACTTACTGCGTGAGATTTTTGCCATCTAAATTCAACTGAACTCCAATTACATATCTCACATTTGCTAAAAGAACATGTTTGCAAACTTTTGCTCTCTTTATCAAAGCTTGCTTGAACAAAAGTAAATTTTTCTTTACTCCCCTTTGTTTATCGCTCATTTAAAATCATGTAACGTACCCTCTATCACCTGTCTTGATAACAATGAGCAAAACCCTAACATAATAATAAGGAGCCGTAAAATCGAATGGACCTGTGTTGAAAGGCCTATTTTTTGCCATCGACCATTTTCGGAAGGCGCATGTCACGTGACGTCATAGTTCCCGCCGAAACCTGTTTCGCGCCCATTCGCAGCTGTCGCGGCCAAGTGGTCGGGTCGCCAATTTATATTTTTATTTTTTCTCGGCCTCGAGCCTCGGGCCTTCAGCCTCCAGATACAGTTAACTTCACTAATTGTTAATTTTGTAACCCGTTTCTGTGAAAGGGCTGACTAATATTATCTTTAAACTTTAGTAAATTTTAATATACTAGGTTAATAGTTGATTGAAATCTGATGAATCATGACAATAAAGTTTGTACTGCAGCAATCAACAATGTGCAATTGCATTGCCATTATTTATTAATCTTAAAATCTTGTTGCATTAACATTATGTATTATTGAAGCAAATAAAGACATTCTTCTATTGCACCGAATGAATTATCTTGTTAGGGACATCAAATAATATCCCTATTTTTCAGTAACTCTAATTTGATATTAATTTTCCAACTAAGTATCTGTGCAGTGCACAGATACTTAGTTGCACAGTGTGCACGCACCTTCACCAAAAGTATGAATTTTTGTAGAGCAGATTTTGTACTGCATTATTGCAACCTGTTTAGCTAAATAAATTCTGATCAGTGTGCTAAAGTTTCAAGTGTTTGATATTTTCCAAGTTTTTTGTTTTAAGCCACGATATAATTAATAATTTCTTTTTAACTAATCTCTGCCCCCGTTTCTGCTCCATTTGCTGGATGTTTAGCGAATACCTGAGTGCCTGAATCGTGTGAGCTATGCAAAAATGCACCGATCTAAATACGTGGAGCAGAATGAGTCACTCGATTCCCACGATCGAACCAGGTTCAGGCTTAAGTTTCCGGCCATTATTTATTCTGTACTTATATCTATAAAACCAACGACCTTATAAACTTGATAATTAGGAGTCAGTAGCACGGAACATTTTCTCTCATCGAAATTTATAACCATTTGATTCTAAGTTGAACCTATCTATTTCTATTGGCACATAACGTCGCGTCTATTCCTTAGTGTCTGGAGTTCTGAACAAACCTCAAGAGGATT